GGTGGGGGGACTCCACAGGGGTTCAGTGTGAGGGGCTCAGGCTGGTTTGGCTCAGTCAGTTGCAGGCAGAAACGCCCCTAGAAGGCTCTACTGCAAAGACTGTGTCGGGAGACAGCCTAGTCAGCAGAGAAAAGGGTTTTACTCCAGCGTCCAGTGCAGGGTTCTAAGGAATCTGCCTGTCAGGTTCACATGGACCAATGCATAGACCTTTAGTTTCTTGGGAAACATTCTGAGCTGAATGAGCTAATGCCATCTGCAAATACTTAACAAATAATGTAAATACACAGGAAAAGACAAACTTTAAGATCCAGCTGGAAAAATATGGACCAAAGTATGTCTATTACTTAGCAGCAAAAAAATAGCACACTAGTTCTCAGGTAAGAAGAAAGTCTTGTTCCCGTGGTTTTTACCTGGTTGGAGCTTACTGGGATAATGCTGCGTTCCGGCTCCAGGGAGGGGAGGAGGGCTCAGCCCTGCAGGCCCAGCCCCCTGAGTTGGGCTCACACTGGTCAGCGTCCCTGGAGGCAGTGGCTGACCTCTCTTTAACAGCTGCTTCTGTTCTTGCTGGCGGAAGCGTGGAGGCACCTCGCGGGGCAGGTAACGGGAGGCAGCTGGCTGCTGGCCACTGGCAGATGCACGTTTGCCATTGCTGCTGTTAGAGACAGTGCTGGTGGAAGTACTGGTACTGGTACCGGCAGGCTGGGGCTGGCTTGAACAGGTCTTAGTAGGTTCTGGCACTGAAAGGAACAAATGGATAGAAGAACCCAAAACTTTAGTAAATGCCTCCTTAAAGACCCAACCTAAGGGGCCGGCAGGTGGTGTGGGGGCATTGGACTCCCACATAGCCAACCACGGTTCAATTCCTGGACCTACCAGCTTGCCTTCTCACTTTATCTCTCTCTCCCTCTCTTTCTCTCTCTCATCAAATCAAAATAAATAAAGTTAAATAAAAATAATTCTCAAAAAAAAGAAAAAAAAGAGAAAACCTAAACCAAGGACAAGAAAAAAACCCTGGAAAACCAAAGGAGGAGTATGTAGTACTTCTGAAACGGAACTCAATAAAAGGCTGGAGCTCCAGATGTGAGACCCAGTTCCTACAAATGGTCTTGAGAGCCTGAGCCAGTTACCTGTGGGCCTCGGTTTCCTCGCCTGTCAAGAAAGAGCAGAACAGCAGCCCTCAGGCCAGCAGGTGGCGTGGTGCTGGATCTCACATGGCCAACTGCATGGTTTCAAGAGCCGGCCCTGGTGGCTTGAAAATCACACGGGTTGTTTGCATGCATGGCCCTAATTCCAAATCGGTGGAGAAACAGAGGAGACAGGATTGCGGCATGACCATGCTCCACTAGGGAGTGGCTTTTTCCTCTCCCTCCCTCTGGTGCAAGTTGCTAAGATACCGTGCCCCACCAGCTGGGAAGGCCAGGTGTTAGGCGTTTGACTATATCCCCAGTGACCCAGGAGGTAGAAGCATGGGGACTGGGAGTACGAGGACACTCTGGGGCAACACAGTGAGACACTGTCTAGAAGAGCCAGGTATGGTGGTGCATGCCTAGGTGGGAGGCTGAGGCAGGAGGACCAGACACAGCAAGGCTGCGGAGTCAAAACCCACAGAACCGCACCACGGGATAGACTCCGATGTGAAATACGGGCTTCGGTTAATAACAGTATACCAATACTGGTTCACTGGTCGTAACGAATGAACTTCTCTAATGTAGATGTTAATGGGAAACTAGGCGTGGGAAAAGAAATATATGGGAATATATGTACTCTGTTCAATATTTCTTTCTTTTTTTTTTTTTTTTGAGGTTTTCGCTATAGGGTGTGTGCGCTTGCCAGACAGACAGAGACAGACAGAGAGACAGAAAGTGAGAAATCACTCCCCAGGGGGGATGGTCACGCCGCAATCCCTTCTCCTCCATTCTCCTCTCAGGATCTTGAGCACACACGCACATGCGCCCGGCGTGAGTTTTAAGCCACCAGGTCCGGGATGTGAACCGTGGTCAACTACATGGGAGTCCAGCGACATAGCCATTATGCTATCTGCTGGTTCCCCAATATTTCTGTAGCCCTAAAAATGCCATGAAAATAGTCCATTAAAACAAACAACTCAACAGACATGCAAACTTGCTGTCTCTGTCCCAACAGCAAACTTCCCGTTAAAAGTGTGCAAGTGAAATAGTGTGTAGTACGTGCACATCTGTCTGGTAAACAAATCCACATATTTTAAAATGTACAATTAGCACAGGATCAACTTGTTTTACATATCTGAATGCATCTGCCTCAAAGGTTTTATTCTAGACTCAACAAATGCTTTTTAGAAATGCCCCAAGAGTCTGGGGCCAGCAGGTGGCATGGTGGTTAAGGTGCGAGAGTCCCACATGGTCGACCATGGTTCAAGTATTGGACTGGGCGGCTTGCTTTGTCACTTTCCCTCTCTGTCTCTCTCTGGTCGAATTTTTTAAAAGTAATAAATAAAATTAAATAATTATTTTTTAAAAACCCAAGACTATGACTGCTCTCCTACTGTGAAATTCAAAAGCAGCAGAATAAAAAGGGGCAGGAGGGGGAGGGAGGAAGGAATACAGGAGGAGAAGGATGAGCAACACAGAAATCCCACTTATCTTTGTGGTGGAAAACCCATGGTCTTGCAAATACAGAACCAACATTGGTCCTAATGATTAACTAGTCTGTCATTCTGTAAATAGGACAGCGACCATCAGAGTCATCTTGCCTCTTTTAGGTGTTTGCCATTGGGCTCAGGTCCTTACAGGGGAGAAACAAGAGAGACGGTGAGAGGGAAAGTGAGCCATCACTCCCCAGGGGGACGGCCTCTTCTCCACTCTCCTCCTGGGATTTTGGGCATGCACACACACATGCCTGGCCTGATTTATCAAGCCACTGGGTCCGAGACTCAAAATACAGTCAGTCATGGGAACCAGCAGTTAGCGTAACGGCTATGTCGCTGGACTCCCACGTAGCCGACTGCGGTTCACATCCTGGACCCAGTGGCTTAAAATTCACACCAGGCGCGTGTGCGTGCGTGCCCAAGACCCCGAGAGGAGATGGAGGAGAAGGGATTGCGGCGTGACTATCCCCCCGGGGGGTGATTTCTTGCTTTCTGTCTCTCTGTCTCTCTTTGTCTGTCTGGCGAGCGCATGTGCCCTATGCAGAAAACCTCTCCAAAAAAAAAAAAAAAATACAGTCAGTCATTGGGGCTCCAGCACCATAACCATTACGCCACCTGCTGGCCCTGTCTTCTTGCATTTAAAAAGACGGAACACACAACGTGAAGGAAACACTTAGGCACGACCGGGAAGCGAAGAAGCTGTGCTGCAGAGCCTTAGCAACCATCAGACCCACCTCGCCCACACAGACCCGGCCAGCTGCCAGATCTGGCCACGAGGACACAGCTGGCTTCTGAACTAGAACGCAGATCTCTGACACCAGGCAGTGGCACTGTGCCACTGCGCTGCTGTGATCTTTCTAAAGAGATCCAGGACAAAGGCAGGGCGGCTTTTCTCCTAGACCTCCAGAGGAAGAGGAATTCATGCTCCCGAAATGAATGCACAAACACAAAATGACTGTTCTCAGTCACATCCTTCAATCCGAGCCTCCCAATTCAAAGACGATGGAAATTCTGTAATTCCAAATGGGTAATACTTTCTGTATGTTGGATGTTGGAATATTCTCCCTAACACAAACTTATTCTTGCCATCTGGGGTTTCGGACCCTTTGGCCACCCTGTCCCCACTCCCTGCACCCATCCGTGCCCGTGACTGCCTCTCTACTCAGCTTCTGAGCCTGTGGGAAGGCCGTTCTGTGCCAGGACTTCCATTTGGCAGGCTCTCCGATCCCTCGTGTTACTGCACACGACAGAACGTCCTTCCCACAGGCTGGGCGCTGTTCCCTGGCGTAGCACTGCAGCCCCTCTCCCAGACCTGCCCACTGTGCTGAGTGCTAGGATGCACGCGGGGGTGCGGCCCTCTCTGAAAAAGTCGTTTCAAACCTGGGGGTAAATGCCCAGAAGTGAGACTGGGACCGTATGGTTGTCCCGTTGTTAGTTCCATAGTGGCGGGGCATCCCCAGCAACAGCATCCAAGTGTCCCTGTGCCCTGCACCCATGCCGACCCTTCTCATCCCCCCTTCCGATGGGCAAGGGACAATTATCAGTGCTTTTAATCTGCGCTTCAAAAACGGGCAAGGTTGGACGAGCCACATACTCGTGTCAGATCCCCATTTCTGAACCTATCACTACCCAGAGGAACGGGGTAGCAAAGCCATCTTCACAACCCTCTTCTTCACCGAGGCCCGGATCTAGGCGCACCTCAGCAGCAAAGCTTTGCAGAGGGATCCAGCTGGCACATCAGCGTTTCTGTGCAGCCTAAGAGCACAGCAAGGCAGCAGAGACTGTGGCTTGATTTTGCTTATGGGTCAAACCATTGTTATATTTAGAAGAAGGTAAAGCAGCAACCAGTTGACAGCTTTGTAGTTAACTAATAAAACTTTGGGCAAGGTGAAAATTTTGGTTACCCATTTTTGCCTAATAAGCATTTTTAAAATTAGGGTGACACCTGCTGGTGAAATAGCAGATGTTACCTTTTCATACTGGTCCGAGTTTATTTTGGCACCAAAAAATTTCAAAATCCATGCAGTTTTTTCATAATATACATTTTTTCATAACCTTTTGAAAGCCGTGTCCCCCCAACGTAAGAAAGGAATAGTCTTTTAAAACAATTCTCTAAGAAATTATTTTTCTGCTTTAAGCTAAACTTTTTTTGTTTTACTTTTTAAAAATATCTTTTATTGAGTATATTTGAGGTTTACAAAATGTTATGAGATAGAGATAAAAACAGCTACATGCATATTAACATACTTTTTTTCATCTGTGTGGTCAGAGGAACTAAAATCTGTTCCACAAAAACTTACCTATTTCTTAATCTATTTTTTTTTCTCATTTCTGTAGCATTCTGTATCAGTTGTCCCCCCCAACCCCACCCCATCACCCACCCTGTTCCATCTCTAGTATCTGCAGCTGCCCTCCCTGCTCTGATACCTTCCAATCTTTCAGTTTCTAGTCCTGGTCTTTCATAAGTAAAAAAAAAATCAACTTTTTGTTTCAATAGATCTTTTGGGGCCAGCCCTTGGCCTAGTGGTTACGGCAGCTGGATCCCACGCAGCCGACCCGGCGGCTTGAAAAACATGCCCAGAGAGAGAAACGGGGGGAAGACTGCGGCAGCGTGACCATGCCCCACGGGGATGCTTTCGATTCTCTCCCACCTCCCACACGCACACGCCACTGGGCGAAATTTTAAAAGGAGAAAATAAACCAACAAGTGCTCACAGGTCTTCCATATGCGTTCATTCCCTTCTGCTGCCATCCTTCACTCTGCCTTTCATTCCAAGTTCGGGTGCGCTTCCTCTGCTAGCTCCTGGAGGTGCACTATTAGGTTATCGGAAACCTCTCCACTTCTTAGATGAAGGTGTTTATTCCTATAAACTTCCTTCTTATTAGCTCAGCTAACTTTTCCAGGTAGCATTATCAAGGCCAAATAGTTTATACATTCCTACCCTTTTCCCTAAAACCAAAAGCTACAATGTGGGCCGCAAGTTCTGGTGGCCCCGGAGGGCTTTGGAGGAGCTCGTGACACAGAAGCTCCTCTTCAAGTGCCTATAGGGAACCTTGTCACCTCTAAGAGAGCCAGCCCCTTACTCTGAGGCTACCCTTGCAGCCTGTTCTCTG